TACTAATATTATTTGACAATTTATCTGCATTATTATAAAGATGTTAGAAACCTTTTCAAGATTTAAAGATATTAGATTAAACAAAATACCTTTATTAAAGACAAATTATTTAAACAAACTTTTAAATTAAAATATTTAAATTTTTCCACGTAGGTAGTTTTTCATGCAATTAATCTTTTGTGAAGATAACTTTACATTTGGGTAGTTTTTTTATGGTGGTAAATTTTCTGAAAGTTCTATATATGTTCTATATTCCTTTCATCCCTTTCAGGAGTGCAAATATAATTATAACCGACGTTAAATATGTATTTGTTGAGAAATGGATTGATTCAATAATTGCCTGATTTTCTTGTTGGAATATATAATCAACATTATTATATTTTATGTTTGCAATATTAATAATTGCAGCTCAGAGGTTCCTAATTTATTAACATACATATATTTCAGACATATACTTATAATTAATGAATGTACAGATTAGAGCAAATTGATAAATTCATATTTTTTAGTGAATTATAAAATTACTAGAACACAGCCTTGCCTGGAATCTAAACTATTTCTATATATTCCTATGAAAGACAGCCAACTAAAGTGTTCCTAAAAAAGACAGCCAACTAAAATGTTCCTATAAAAGACAGCCAACTAAAATATTCCTATAAAAGACAGCCAACTAAAATATTCCTATGAAAGACAGCCGACTAAGCTTCAAATTTTTAGACCAAGCTAAGAACATTTACGTGGTTCCCCGATACAAAATTAGGCAAATCAGAGACGAACAAACAGAGATTTCTACTTTATAAACATATAAATTTTATTTTAACATTAATATGAAGATGTTTATATGTTTTGTATATTGCAGACACGGGCATGTTATAAAATTTCAACTTTTATGTTAAACGAAAGTTGGAAATTGATAAATACAGTAACTGAAGGTGTACAGAAAAACCTTCAAGCGCATTTATATTTTACATAACTATTGTTTATCTTCAATTTTTTCTCTTTTAGAGTTTTTTTCGTGGATTTTGAAAAATCAAAGTTTTTCTAAGTCAAGTTTTTTCAATTCTAATTCCATCCATAAACCTTCCCTGGGATCATGTGAGGTTCAGCCGTTTTGACGTTTATCGGTTACAAACAAACACCCAATCAGACAAGCAAAGTATATGTATAGATGTAGAAGTTTAAATGTGATGATGAGCTTTTAAAAATCATCTATCTGTATTCACTGAAAGATGTATTAAGAATCTTTAAAAATGTCTGATCCTTGAGGAATATTCTATTAAGAATGTATGTACGGAGGGGAGGGGTATAGTGGGAATAAGAGGGGGGGAGATGTATAGTGGGAATAAGAGAAGGGGAGGGGTATAGTGGGAATAAAAGGAAGAGGAGGGGTATAGTGGGAATAAGAGAGGGGGGGGGATGAAATTATCAAAATTATTTTATCAAATGCAGAAAACCAAAAATAACAAGTGTTTGGTTTGGATCCTTGAAGTGTGTATGTTGAGCTTGTTTGTGAATAATTTTGCATATTTTTCTCTTTTCTTTTGGAAACCTGTATTTTCAAAAATTTATTTAAACAAATTTAAACTACACCATTTATATATTTATATCTTTGTGTGTGAATAAATCTTTCTAATAATATTAGTCTAAAATAGCCCAATTTGTATAGGGTTTATAAAAGTAGTTTTTATAGTGTTGAAAAGTGTTGGCTGGGTCTTGTCAAATAAAATGACTAATCACTTGTAATATTTATCATGGCTGAATTATATTCACCAAAATTCCCTTGGTTCGTAAAGAAATTTGAAAAATTCTTCATATTTAGTAGGAATATTCTATTAAGAATGTATGTACAGAAGAGGAATATTCTATTAAGAATGTATGTACTGAAGAGGAATATTCTATTAAGAATGTATGTACGAAAGAGGAATATTCTATTAAGAATGTATGTACTGAAGAGCTAGATGACTGGATACTCAAACTAAACTCTCCGGTTTCAGAGGATTTACTCAGCTTTCTCCGTGAACCCTGATCTAGGCGGGAACCTGGAGAACCTGGGACGGATTGGATAAATCTCCGGGTGCTAGCTTGGATTCAGGGATCATTCACCAATATTGGATTCTTAATACTGGAGCTAGGACATTACCCAAATAGAACCCTCCCTCTTACCCTCTATACCTTTTAATCTATAATAGGACCTTTCGCAATATTCATTTCCACCCTCACCCCATGCCCACCCCACCCTCCTCCATTTAACCCAATAAAAATATGTGGGGATGGGGGGAGAATCGGAGAGGGGAGGCCCAAATAAATGCAGTCCCATTTTTAGAAGAAAAAAATTGGAAAGTTACAGGAGGTGCCATTTTTTTTTTAATTTTTAGACTGGTTTGGGTGCTGAGGAAGATTTAAAAATAACAACAAATTCTATTTGTTTTAAAAAAACATGATTTATCGCAATATTACTAATCAACTTTGGGATTTGAACAAAAAGTGAACCCATAAGGAAACCTATGTACTAAAATGTTGCTAAACGCAACATGTTTAAAATTTCTAAATATTCCTTCACGAACATTTAAATTTGAAAAACAAACTATTTTAATTGCACAAAGTCAAAAGTCTAAATTAGGGCAGAACTTTTAAACAGTTTAAGTAGTAAACTCCAATAGGTTTAATATAATCTAAAAATCTATTCTATAGTTTTATGAAGAAAAAATGTTTTTCTTGTATATTGTATCTACTCTAAATCCACTATATGAACTTATACAGTAAACCTATAAAATGCTTTATTCTTTATGCACAAAGAATATAATCTCTGTGGATATATGTTTATGTACAGGGTGTACCATTAAATAGTGGATATATGTTTTTGCACAGGGTGTACCATTAAATAGGGAATATATGTTTATGTACAGGGTGTACCATTAAATAGTGAATATATGTTTATTTACAGGGTGTACCATTAAATAGTGAATATATGTTTATGTATAGGGTGTACCATCAAATAGTGGATATATGTTTATGTACAGGGTGTACCATCAAATAGTGGATATATGTTTATGTACAGTTGAGAGACGACTTTTTATTTTATATTTTACAGCTATATCTAATATCTAATGACAAAACTTGTATCAAAAACGTTAAATCACTGAAATATTGACAACTCTAAAACTCAGTCATCAAAGAAATTGAGTCTTTGCTACAACCTGAAATCTGTTATGCCCTATATCTTTGCAACTTAATGTTGTAAACCTTTGATATTTCAAACTATGAATTATGTTAGATTAAATCACATAGATTCAGCCTCCTTATAAACAGTATCATCAATTTTTAAGACAGGGCTGACTTTGAAGTGTCGCAACGCCCTAAGCTGAAATTTTACCGCTCTAACTCACTTATGCTTTTCTGTAGCCCTTTAAATGTAAATTTTAGCACTGTAAAGCACTTGTTGTTAGATGTGTTTTTTTAGAAGTTATTGGCAAAATTCTCAACGATTTTTGCTTGAGAGCGTGAGACCATTAAATCACAGTGTAAAGAATCTAAGTTTGAAATATCTAAGGTATATGACATTGGGTTGCAAAGATATAGGCATTAGAAAATCTGAGTTCATTTATAAACAACTTAGACTTTAAAGTGTCGGAGCGCCTTGGTCTTCAGTTTTGCTTTACCAACTCTCATTGCTTTATTGTAGCACTAGACATATACATTTAAAAAATTTAAACCGCTTGTTTTTTAGCTTTAGCCTTGAAGAAGTAATTGACAATCTTCAAATCGAGTTTTGTGTGAGAGCTTGCAACCTGTGGATCACTGTGAGTGCACCTATCCATGTTTTCATACACGTTTATTCAAAGACGACATTGGTCGTCTCTCAGATGTTATGATTAATGGGACACCATGTAGTTTATATATTTATAACTTTTTCCAGGCCCAAGCAACCCCTTTTTTTAAAGGAAGAAAATATCGAAACAAAGTAAAGATCTGGCAAGTTGAAGATCGAAAACCGAAATACTGAATATGTGTGAACATGACAAGTTTATGTAAATTAACGAAACATATTTGAATTTGAATTCAATATTAACAAACAAATTAAATAGCAATGTTCTTAATTGAAAACGAAGTATGCTAGTTGGTTAACTTTGTAACCTTGGCAACCTGATGAAAAATAGCGATGGGCTTTAATTATTTATTTTTCTGCGATGTTTCTGGCCACTATAGTCTTATTTATCTAACCCTTGTGCTACTCACGTATCCTTTGCCCCAAAACACTGTAGGGGGAGTGGGGGGGGGGGTCCACGACTTAGGCAGTAGTTGTCAAAGCTTAGCTTTTAGTATGTATTCTCAATATTTAGAAAATTCAACCCCCCCCCCAAAAAAAAAAAAAGTCGAACTATCTATAATGGCTCAGAATTGTTCAATTCAACCTAACTGATTTTATTTTCTTAAAGTTACCAATGCTCATTTACATTTGTGTAGATACTTACCCAGTAAACCTCACTATACTTACAAACAGCATATAATTCCTCTTTCTCATTCAGCAAACTTACCACAGGGTGTTCCAGAAAACATGTGAAATAAGGGACAACTTTTATATCTTTATATTTTTGTTCCAGTAAAAACAATTATCGACATAAACTCTTTGTCTTGGGATTTCCAATTGAATCTTTAATCTGAAACACTTGATATCGATACCAAATTTGGGCATTTTTAAATGTGAAGAATAAGACCAATGCTTGATCTTTTCATTTTAGTTATCCATGCAAGGTATGGCCAACACGGGATATCGAAGAGGAATACGATTAATCCGCTGGTCTGCATAAGATGGAGATCAATTCTTGATCCTTTAAGATTCAAAACACAAATTCATTTAGAAAATTTCTGGATATTTGCTTTCTCCGTCAAATTTAAGACATTTTTTAATGATTAAAAATCAAAACGATTTTGAAGTTGTCTCTACATTTTTAGGTTTATTGGGACACCCTGCAGAATAGACAACATACAAATGCACTTACCCATGCACCTAAAGCCGTGTATATGATAAGTCCAACATACAGACCAACATGACCAATTACCTAAAACATTTTTATATTATTATTCATAAATAAAATAAAATGTTTTAAAGCAAAAAGAAAATGATGAAATAAAGATAAATGCGCTAAACATTCTGATAACAATGCTTAATCCTGATCGCTTAATCTGAATATCAACTGATGGAAACTTTTTTTTGAATCCGCTCTCTTTGGATATCCCTTTTCTACTAAATGTAATAACGATACGTTTGATCGATTAGGATTAGAAAAAAAGAGGATCAAGCATTGCTCTCGATATCTATCACTTAGGTGAGAATTTGACAGCTAGGTGCCAGGACAAACTCCGGAAAGACAAACTCCTGAAATACAAACTCCGGAAAGACTAACTCCGGAAAGACAAACTCCTGACGAGACAAACTCCTGACGAGACAAACTCCTGAAAGTACAAACTCCTGAAAGACAAACTCCTGAAATTATGAAATTTTTCTCTGAATGAAATATGATAAAATTCATAAACTTTAGGAGAAAAAATCCGCAAATATCCTAGAAAAAATTCTCAATCTTTAGTAATTTGAATATGTTTCAAGCAGCAAAGTATTACAATGATCAGAATAACCAGCAAATTTATTATAATTTATTTTTTATTATTTATTATTTAGGGTTAGGTTAGGTTAAGGCACTTTCTGGGCCGAGCGCTGCGGCTAGGACAGGCTAGGGGGCCGAGCGCTGCGGCTAGGACATGCTAGGGGGCCGAGCGCTGCGGCCATGGGTTAGGTTAGTTAAGACACTTTCTTGGCCGAGCGCTGCGGCTAGGACAGGCTAGGGGGCCGAGCGCTGCGGCCATGGGTTAGGTTAAGTTATGACACTGTCTGGGCCGAGCGCTGCGGCCACGGGTTAGGTTAGGTTAAGACACTTTCTGGGCCGAGCGCTGCGGCCACGGGTTAGGTTAAGTTATGACACTGTCTGGGCCGAGCGCTGCAGCTAGATTAGATATAAATTGTGAAACATTTTTTTAAAATTTGATATTCTGGAGTTTGTATTTTAGAAGTTTTTATTTTCAGGAGTTTGTCTCGTCAGAAGTTTGTCTTTCCGGAGTTTGTCTTTCCGGAGTTTGTCTTTCCGGAGTTTGTCTTTCAGGAGTTTGTCTTTCAGGAGTTTGTCCTGGCGCCGACAGCTAGTTGAAATGATTTAGCGGTTTACACTTCTTTGAAAGAAGCTTTTCTCCGACGACATTTAAGAAATTCTCCGCGTGGCTTATAGTTTTGTTTGATGGAAGACGACATTTTAACTCAACTACAGTCAAGTTTTCTATTTTTAAAAATATTCACGACCCTGTCCCGGGTTCGTGCATGGGGACACCTCCCTGCATGGGGACACCTCAAACTAAAGTTTTAACCATTCCAACACAATGATGTTAGACATAAAAAGCAATGTTAAGACATTTCTGATTCTTAATAATGCTTTTTGATTTGAAAAACAAATTAAAAATTATCTATATCTCGAGTAAATATTAATTAATTGTTTGATGATTTGAAAGCAAGACGACATTCGAGTGGAAATAACGTTTCTCGCCATTACTCCCTTTAAAATACATTTAAAAGATGCCTATTTAGTTTATGTCCACTTATGATTTTTAGTGTTTTATCATTACTTTTTAAGTCTAACATTGTGTTGAAATGGATAAAACTTTAGGGGTAGGTGTTCCATGTAAGGGAGGGTCTCCATGCACTACACCATGGCCCCATCCTTTGTAAACTAAAATTTTGCATCACACAAACAAACAATAAAAAGCATAACATAACGTAAAGCATAAAAACATTGTTAACAGAAATTTACTTTCAAATGTTTAGCATTAAAAGAAAACAAAGCTTCATTCTCTTATAAACAGGGTTACCCACAAAAGATGAGACTGTAAAGACGACCTGAAACTATTAAAATATGACGATCTCAACGTTTGATTATCACTTCTGCCTTGAAATTAGCCCTACCATTAGGCGTATGTAAAACAGAAAGATAAGTCTATCTGTACAGCTGCACATGCACCTCTGACCCTTCAGTAAAAGTAAATTCAACCTAAAGTCTGACTGCGTCAGCCTTGTTGCACCGGCTAGTCATTTTGAGTGTCTGCTTTATTTACCCAATGTCCGGGCCCGGCTATACAGTACAAACTGGAACCGGAAAGGTTGACCCGGCTCGGAAATTCAAATGTACTACGGCTGCCCGTGTGCAGGGAATCGTAAATGTAAGGAAACAGACAGTTTAAATTCTGTAAAGTCGTCTCTGAAGTCTCATATTTTGTGGGTATCCCTGTATATAGTTTTAAAGCATATTTACCGTTCTTAGTTTAGCCACATTTTCTGCTCCGAGATGTTTCTCAAGTCTTTCGTCTAGCTTGGAGAACCACCCGTCCATTCTTCCCTTAAAATGACTGTAGACGGAATATCAAGTAACCCTCCACTTGTAGAGCGGCATGTACGATTTACAATGGTACCCTTTATACTGATGGAGTTTTTCAATCGTGATTTCTCTGCAGGAAAAAAAAAACGAAAATACCAGAATTTGACACTTTTTCGAGATGGAATTACGACGATATCTTCCTCACTGTTGCTCAGAGAAAGGCTTAAAGAGTATCTTTGTGAATCGTAGATTTCATTTTATGTTAGATATTAATGATAGAAAATTGTCTCTATTAAAAAATTGGACTAAAAAATTTATTTTGATGGAAAGTTCAATAGTCTATGTAGTACAAGGAAAAAAACATGTGAGAAATAAGCATCTTGCATCTTGCAAAAAGGGAATCTCATAACAGCTATATAATTACGCATTGTGCAACGTGAATAAAATTAAGATAATATATGTTTATATTCTTAGGCTTCATATTGAAGCACAAGCACATCAAACTTTATTTCTCAAAAATTCTCAAAAAAATACTATTCTTCATTTCTAAATTTACCTGAAAGTTCTTCCTATATCATCTGAAATTGCTCAGAACAAATGCATTTTTTGTCTGAAAAAAACTTTTATTAAAGGTTATAGAAAGAAAATAAGAAAGTTCAAAAATTGAAAGGTGATTAAAAAATCAAATTTGTTCTCTGATGTTGTTATAAAATACAACAAAAAATTCAAAATTTTTTAGATCTTAAGAAAGCTTTTGACTGTTGCAACTTAGATATTCTTTTAAAAAAACTAGAGTATTACGGTTTTAAAAATGTAGCTAACACATGGTTTCAAAACTATTTAGTAAATAGGACTCAATATGTTTGTATAAATGGTATTTTTTCTAAAGAAAAAACAATTTTATGTGGTGTTCCTCAGGGAAGTGTTCTTGGGCCCCTACTTTTTCTCATATACATAAACGATTTGCCTTTAGCAACGTCTTTTTTTACTAATCTATTTGCTGATGACACTAGTTTTCTAAAATCATCCCCACATATCGAAACTTTAGTAATTGATGCGAACTTTGAACTAAAAAAGGCAGCTACATGGTTTCAGGCAAACCGTTTAACACTAAATGTTTCCAAAACAAAGTTTATGATATATAGGAATAAAAATATGCATTTTAATCCTGAGAACTGCAAATTAAAAATTGGAAATGAGATACTAGAAAGAATAGGAACTAACTATACAAATAAATATTTCAAATTTGTTGGACTCAAAATTGATGAATTTTTAAATTGGGACTATCAAATTGAACATGTTTCCAATAAGATTGCTAGCTCAATTTTTGCTCTGAATCAGATTAAAAACATTTTACCGTTAAACATTCGTCTACTAGTCTATAATGCACTTGTAAGGCCACATATTGAGTATGGAATTATAACATGGGGGGGTGTAAAAAATGCTAAACTACAGAAAATCAAGTCTTTGCAAAAAAGGGCAATTAGAGCAGTAAATAATAGTTCATTTAAGGCACATTCAGATCCAATATTTTTCAGATTAGAACTCCTAAATCTTGATGATACATATAAACTAGGTGTTCTATCTTTTATGCATAAATACTTTTATGAAAACCTTCCAGCTTCCTTCCAGGATATGTTTAATTCTTTAGCTGAACCAAATAGAACAAAATCATATAAACTTGAGCGAGTTCTCTTTAAAACCCTAGAAAGTTTTCCCTCTGCCTTATTTCCAAAAATATGGAATTCTATTGAATTAGAGCTTAAAGAAACTAAATCTGCAAAATCGTTCAAAAGAAAAGTCGCCAAGATCTATTTAGATAGTTATGCAAATTATATCTGTAAAAAAAAAAACTGTGTATCATGTGGATAAACTTAGTCTTTAGTATCTTCTTCACCCTGTAGTTCATAAACATGATTCTAATAACTTATGTTACCCTCTGTTCCAACCCTTACGCTGAGTATCCTCCCTTTTCTTTATACTCCCTCACCTCCTCCTTACCTTTTACCTGATTTATTATCATTCTTATGTTTAAAATGTACAATGTACATTGTTTTTATCTGCAATTCTCATTCGTTTATAGTGGGCCAACCAATTAAAACAACCTACTCTGGTTAGGCGGGTCCAAACTACATAGTAAATTGTGATTTTTTATTTGTATTATCTCGTGCTTTGTAGTTGAATAAAAATATGAAAAAAAAATATGAAGTGTTTCAAGAGAAAATATTTAAAAACCTCCCAAAAAAGATGTTGTAGGAATATTTCCCCCATTCTAAAAAAAATAAAGGAAGAGGAAAGTAAAGGAAAAAGGAAGTTACACATTTACATTTACATTACATTTAATTAACTTGTGGTGGATTGTTAGTATTTTTCGACGATGAACTAACAACTTTTAGAAATAAAAATGATAGATGTAATGTTGAAAAAATACAATAGACTTTATGGGTTGTGAAAAAGATATAGGTTCTACGCAGAACAGGCATTTTCAACCCTATCCCTAGACTCTAAGAAATTTTAAATTTTCATATAGTAACATTTGTTGGAGCACCGGCATTAAATTTACCTGAGCAAAATAATTCAACAAAATTTAACGAATGATTCTGCTAAGGTGAATCTGATGCCGGTGCTCCAACAAATTTTGTTAGATGAAAATTTGAAATTTATGAGAGTGTGCTGGGGTACTTGAAAACCAGGATACACTGTGTGGGGGGAGGGGGGGGGGGGAACTGATCCCTCCCCTCTAAATTCCATGTTTGATGTCCAAATATGACAAATGATACATCATTGGAAAGCATTATGCTCTTTTTTAATTTGTGCCGATTTTTTACATCCTTTATGTTTGATCTTTTTTCTTCTTTGTAAAATTGTCTTTGCTTTCTTCGATTCTTTTGCAAACATAGCATGTGTTACAGAATTAAGACATTGGTTCTGCTGATAAAAATCCTCAATTAAATTATCTTTAAAATTCCAAATGAAATTAAAAAATATATTCTCTTAAGATTGAGTCGAAAAGTTTAATGGATTTTCTAATTCTCTTAGGAAGTGTATGTTTATAGTTTGCTGTGACGCATTAAGAGAAATCAGTAATTAGTTTTACATATATTTGAATTTCCGAGCCGGGTCAACCTTTCCGGCCCCAGTTTGTACTGTACCTAGCTTTATGGACAGGACTAGCCGGTGCAACAAGGTTGACGCGGTCATACTTTATGCTTTATATAGGTTGAATTTACTTTTACTGAAGGGGCAGAGGTGCGTAAGATTGTAAACATTAAACATGTTTTCCTTGTTATATACAGCTAGGTTTAGGAGAAATGTTGATTGGGTTCAATAAAACAATGGGACACATAAAACTGTGGAATTGGAAGACGACTGTTAGACAAAGCTCTGATTTGTATTAGTACAATGAATATTTAACACATATATTGTGCAGATAGGCCAAAAACCCCTCTTATTTATAAAGTTGATTTTTAAGCAACTCGTTAACTGATTGCTTTATAGTTTTGCGGGGTTTTACAGTAAAATACAGTTAATCCCTTTCTCCTTTGGTTAGTTGTATATTTTGCTGTGTGTTTTTACTCCCCATAATACACACACTCTTCCAGAATACTCTTTTCTAGTGGTACACATTATAGTCTGTACTAGGGCTGGACACTTTAGTACTTTTCTAGTGGTACACATTATAGTCTTACTAGGGCTGGGCACTTTAGTACTTTTCTAGTGGTACACATTATAGTCTGCACTAGGGCTGGTCACTTTAGTACTTTTCTAGTGGTACACATTATAGTCTGCACTAGGGCTGGTCACTTTAGTACTTTTCTAGTGGTACACATTATAGTCTGCACTAGGGCTGGTCACTTTTGTACTTTTTTCCAATTCTTTCGTTAACTGTTTGTGAAATAGAGCTAATTAAAGTCATCAAATAACAATTTTGTTTAACATTTAATTTAATAGAACTATCGCCAACGAAATTTCCCGTTAATTCTTAAAATAACCCAACTTTGGCCAGTCCTACTGTAGTTTTTAGCCACAATTTAAAAACACATATATTTTTAGGTTGTAAACTAGAAATCAATTAAATATCCCATTAAATGTTAACTTGATTTGGAAAATGTTGCCTTTCCCTTGTTTTTAACCATATCGTAATTAACGAGTCTTTCTCTCTGTCAAAGGAATTTTTATTCAAAGCATCAATAAACAAACAAAAAAATATATTTTAATTTTGGTTTTATTGCAAAATTAATGAATTAAATTTTCTGTTATTCTTTTTTTCGTTTAAATGTTCGATCCTGTTTAGTTCTTTCTCAATTTTTTGTTAATTATCCATTACTTCTGTTCGTTATAATATATAATGCCCATCCCTTACTATAGTCTCACTCTCTGCCAATACAATACTAGACAATAAACAAACTTTTTTTCTTCTCTTGAAGTAGCGATAAAAATAAAATAAAAAATACTTCATGAAAACCTCAGAAATACAAAAGTTTAGTGCACTCTTCAAACAGTAGAATTTAAAAGGACTTTGATATTGGAATGTTTAGTTAAAATTTCAAAGTTTGTTTGTAAATTACAAACTAATTACAAGGTCAAAGTTAGTTACTTTTCATAAAACATAATATAAATCTAACTTTACCGTAAAAACATTTTTTATATTTGAAAAAGTTTTATAAATACATAATAATCATTAAAAACGGATTTACAAAAACAGATTTACTTGGATAGAACCAAATTTTTATGTACAGACCCAGATTTCTTTAGTCAGAACTGCATTTTCATAGACAGAACCATATTTTCATTGATATAACCATAGAGGACAAAACAGGATTGTCATAACGAGAACTGGATTTTCGTAAAAAGAACCAAATTTTCATAGACAGAACCATGATTTTCGTAGGCTGCACTGGATTTTTATGGTCAGAGGCAAGGATTGTAAGGCAAGGAAAGTTATTTCAGAACTGTTCACATCTTTTGTACTGCAGTGTACTGTCTCTGGGCGGTAATGTAAACACAAGACGGATGTCGAAGCCTGAAATGGGATCCATCTTTCACATAAAAAATCGATGAAATATTCTGGTCATAGGAAACTATTATGTGAATTATCAAAATTTTCAAAATTTATAGCTTTTAATCTGCTCGGATACTAAACGAACACTGATGCATCTATTCTTGTTTAAAAATTCCGCCCAAAGAGAACTGGTTTCAATATGTACGCAGAGTATACACGACCGCAATAAACTTTTCTTGCCTTACATTCTTGGTAAGAGGCAGATTTCCATTGAGAGAACCATATTTTCCATATACAGAACCAGATTTTTATTGACAGAACCGGATGTTTATAGACAAAACCAGACATTCTGAGACATTCTGGATGTTTAAGTTTAGCATTGATATAAATAGAATATTTACATATAATTGACTAAACACTATAACTGCCTCGTAATACCTTTATTTAGAATATTGTTCTATTGTAATACCTTTATTTAGAATATTGCTCTATTAAAGTTTAAATGGGATGAGGTTCAACTAATATCAAGGGTTAAGTAGGGGGCGTGGGGGCGGGGTTATTTCTGGTATATCTAAAAGTTGAAAATCGTAACAGTTAAAAATATCAGGTTGCAAAGAAATAGGGATTTGA